CACACACTCTGCTCCTCTACCCCACAGACGGTGTGTGTGAGAGCAAGAGAGTGACTGAGAGAGAGAAGAGGGTAACTGCTGACGCCAGACAGACAGAAGGCCTGAGTGTGTGTGTGTGTGTGTGTGACTGTGTGAATGGTACACACACCAGCTACACTGCCACTCGGACACATCCATTCACCTGAAAAAGCAGGTAAATAGGTGTGTGTTTTTTCGCCTGTGTGTCTGTGACCACTGAGATTCTGAAGTATGTGTGTGTTTTCTGCTTGTGGGCACTTGCTTAGTTCTGGCTGATGTCTTATTTAAATCATTCGTTTAATTTACGTCCTTTTTGAGTGGCAACAATGACCTTCAGAGGAAGAAAACATATATTTGCTCACTTTATTGTAAGGATACTCAAGAGTAATTGTAATACAAAAACAAAATACTGTTGAAATGCAAATAGCATCTAATGTAATTTGACTAGCAGCATTGTGTGTTTATGCAAGTGAGCGTAAAATAGAGTAAAATGTAATTGTGCGTCACAGTGCGCTGTGTTGGTCTTTGGACTCGACTTCTTCAGCCTTATGTTTGCTATTAGGGTGGGCCCAGACCTGCGCGTGTTACTGTTATCAGAAAGTTTCCCGTTTTTCTCCAGTCAGTGGCAGATATCTTGATTCTCCATGTGCAGATTTCTCACAGAAACCTCATCAAGAGAAAGTGATGAGACATCAGTGATGTGCTTACTGGAGGCATTTTTTAGCAGATCATCAGCTGTGTGTGTCTGTATCAGCAGATTGTGTTTGATCAGGCCTGGTCACATTGTGTTGCAGTAAGTAGATTAACTTCAGGAGTGAAGAGTTCAGACTGCAAGATAAGAAACCTCAAGATGTCATCAGCATTTGTGGTTCATCCCAATGCTCTTATGTGTTCAGTGTAGATACTATGGTAAAAAGAATTGAAGTGCTTTAGATCATGGTCAGGTGTGTGTGTGCATTTGTGATTTGTCCACTTCGTTATGTGTGCGTGTGTATGCAAAAATGCTCAATATGTGATGTGTTTGATTGTGTGTATTCAATTAACCTTAATTTTTCTTCCTGTTTTGTTAAGTGTTAACTAAAACTATTAAAAATTGTTTTCATTCATTGAAATAAAATAAAATATTAATATTAGTTGAAAAATGTAAACATAGAAATGTTGCATTTGTAACTAATTTAAATAAAATAAAGTAGCAGTAAATAGATATTTAAAAACAATTTTTTTTAATAAAAATTCTAATAAAATGAAAATGTAAACACAAGCTAATTCAAAATATTAATGAATACTATAAATAATACTTAAACAACACTGATAGTTTGGGTTATTTAATGCCTATTTTGTGTAGTTTCAAGTCAGGAGAGCTAAATCATTATGTGTGTTTTATATGAATGATTGCAGGAAAGTTTTACTGCAGCATGTTTTCATAGAGAATTGAAACTGAGGATTACAGGAATTGAGAATGGTGTTGTGGGCATGATGGTCACCGTGTCCACACGTCTCTCACTTTGTCTGGCATCGTTTGACGCCAGTGTTGTCTTAAGAAACCATAATGTGTTCTTTATGTAATATCATAAAGCCATCTCCTGTTCACCTGCAATGCATAACCATATACAGACATGCAGACCTTTTAATTTTGAGTTTTCTTGTAACTCTGATAATTCCCAGTGCTGATTCTTGTTAGATTCTTTCTCATCACTGAATACAAAGATGTTTTATATCACAGTCATGAAACCTAAAGAGCTTAAATGTGCTTCATTTTGATTGTGGGGTGAGATGTGACATGTTCTTGATAGCTTTTTATAGAG